TTCTTCATCTAAATCATTTGATACCTCATCACCTTACTCTTTTCTATGTTCACTTTCAACTTTCTACCTTTACACACACTCCCAAATTCGTCCACTAACCTTTGCAATTTTTCTTTAGAATCTCCCATAAGCACAGTATCATCAGCAAAAAGTAACTGTCACTTCCTATTTTGTATTTAATTCCACATAATTTAATCCCACCCCTCTCCCGAACACCCTAGCATTTACTTCTTTTACAACCCCCATCTATAAATATATTAGACCACCATGGTGACATTACACATCCCTGTCTAAGACCTACTTTTACCGGGAAGTAGTTTCCCTCTCTTCTACACACCCTAACCTGAGTCTCACTATCCTCATAAAAACTCTTTACAGCATTTAGTAACTTACCACCTATTCCATATACGTACTTTACTTGCAACATCTGCCACATTGCTTCTCTATCCACTATCATATGCCTTTTCTAAATCCATAAATGCAATAAAAACTTCCCTACCTTTATCTAAATACTGCTCACATATATGCTTCAATGTAAACATTTGATCTACACATCCCCTACCCACCAAAACCTCCTTGCTCCTCCGCAATTTTACATTCTTTCTTACCTCTAATTCTTTCAATAATAACCCTACTGTACACTTTTCCTGGTATACTCAGTAAACTTTTTTTTTTTTTTTTTTTTTTTTTATTATTATCACACTGGCCGATTCCCACCAAGGCAGGGTGGCCCGAAAAAGAAAAACTTTCACCATCATTCACTCCATCACTGTCTTGCTAGAAGGGTGCTTTACACTACAGTTTTTAAACTGCAACATTAACACCCCTCTTCAGAGTGCAGGCACTGTACTTCCCATCTCCAGGACTCAAGTCCGGCCTGCCGGTTTCCCTGAATCCCTTCATAAATGTTACTTTGCTCACACTCCAACAGCACGTCAAGTATTAAAAACCATTGTCTCCATTCACTCCTATCAAACACGCTCACGCATGCCTGCTGGAAGTCCAAGCCCCTCGCACACAAAAACCTCCTTTTCCCCCTCCCTCCAACCCTTCCTAGGCCGACCCCTACCCGCCTTCCTTCCACTACAGACTGATACACTCTTGAAGTCATTCTGTTTCGCTCCATTCTCTCTACATGTCCGAACCACCTCAACAACCCTTCCTCAGCCCTCTGGACAACAGTTTTGGTAATCCCGCACCTCCTCCTAACTACCAAACTACGAATTCTCTGCATTATATTCACACCACACATTGCCCTCAGACATGACATCTCCACTGCCTCCAGCCTTCTCCTCGCTGCAACATTCATCACCCACGCTTCACACCCATATAAGAGCGTTGGTAAAACTATACTCTCATACATTCCCCTCTTTGCCTCCAAGGACAAAGTTCTTTGTCTCCACAGACTCCTAAGTGCACCACTCACTCTTTTTCCCTCATCAATTCTATGATTCACCTCATCTTTCATAGACCCATCCGCTGACACGTCCACTCCCAAATATCTGAATACGTTCACCTCCTCCATACTCTCTCCCTCCAATCTGATATTCAATCTTTCATCACCTAATCTTTTTGTTATCCTCATAACCTTACTCTTTCCTGTATTCACCTTTAATTTTCTTCTTTTGCACACCCTACCAAATTCATCCACCAATCTCTGCAGCTTCTCTTCAGAATCTCCCAAGAGCACAGTGTCATCAGCAAAGAGCAGCTGTGACAACTCCCACTTTGTGTGTGATTCTTTATCTTTTAACTCCACGCCTCTTGCCAAGACCCTCGCTTTTTACTTCTCTTACAACCCCATCTATAAATATATTAAACAACCACGGTGACATCACACACCCTTTTTCTAAGGCCTATTTTTTACTGGGAAAAAATTTCCCCTTTCCTACATACTCTAAACTTGAGCCTCACTACCCTCGTAAAAAATTTCTTCACTGCTTTCAAAACCCTACCTCCTACACCATACACTTGCAACATCTGCCACATTGCCCCCCCTATACCCCTGTCATACGCCTTTTCCAAATCCATAAATGCCACAAAGACACCCTTATCTAAATACTGTTCACTTATATGTTTCACTGTAACACCTGGTCCACACACCCCCTACCTTTCCTAAAGCCTCCTTGTTCATCTGCTACCCTATTCTCCGTCTTACTCTTAATTCTTTCAATTAAAAACTCTACCATAACTTTCCCAGGTACACTCAACAGACTTATCCCCCTATAATTTTTGCACTCTCTTTTATCCCCTTTGCCTTTATACAAAGGAACTATGCATGCTCTCTGCCAATCCCTAGGTCCCTTTACCCTCTTCCATACATTTATTAAATAATTGCACCAACCACTCCAAAACTATACCCCCACCTGTTTTAACATTTCTATCTTTATCCCATCAATCCGGCTGCCTTCCCCCCTTTCATTTTACCTACTGCCTCACGAACTTCCCCCACACTCACAACTGGCTCTTCCTCACTCCTACAAGATGTTATTCCTCCTTGCCCTATACCACGAAATCACAGCTTCCCTATCTTCATCAACATTTAACAATTCTCAAAATATTCCCTCCATCTTCCCAATACCTCTAACTCTCCATTTAATAACTCTCCTCTCCTATTTTTAACTGACAAATCCATTTGTTCTCTAGGCTTTCTTAACTTGTTAATCTCACTCCAAAACTTTTTCTTATTTTCAACAAAATTTGTTGATAACATCTCACCCACTCTCTCATTTGCTCTCTTTTTACATTGCTTCACCACTCTCTTAACCTCTCTCTTTTTCTCCATATACTCTTCCCTCCTTGCATCACTTCTACTTTGTTAAAAACTTCTCATATGCTAACTTTTTCTCCCTTACTACTCTCTTTACATCATCATTCCACCAATCGCTCCTCTTCCCTCCTGCACCCACTTTCCTGTAACCACAAACTTCTGCTGAACACTAACACTACATTTTTAAACCTACCCCATACCTCTTTTGTCCCCCTTCCCTTTATATAAAGGGACTATACACACACACTGCCAATCCCTAGGTACCTTCCCCTCTTTCATACATTTATTAAACAAAAATACCAACCATTCCAACACTATTTTCCCCCCTGCTTTTAACATTTCTGTCATGATCCCATCAATTCCAGCTGCTTTACCCCCTTTCATTCTATGTAATGCCTCACGCACCTCCCCCCCACTCACATCCTGCTCTTCTTCACTCCTAAAAGATGGTATACCTCCCTGGCCAGTGCATGAAATTACAGCCTCTCTTTCGTTGTCGACATTTAAAAGTTAAAAAATTTCTCTCCTCTCCCCAAAAAACCTCCTTTTCTCCCCTTACAAAATCCCTACTCTGTTTTTAACTGACAAATCCATTTTTCCCAGGCTTTCTTAACTTTTTAACTCACAAAAAAAAAGTTTTTCTTATTTTCAAAAAATTTGTTGACAGTACCTTCCCCCTCTACCATCCCCTTCCCTTTTGCACTCTCTTCAAATTTCTTTTACCTCCAATACTATTGGCGAAAGGTGGGCTGGTCAGGGATGAGTAGTGGGGGGGGGGGGGGGGGGGTTTAAAGGGTTGGAAAAGTTTTTAAAAAAGCAGTATTTGAATGTGGGGGGAGAAGTTTTTGGTTTAGGAGGTTGGGTGCAGGAGGAAAGAGGAGACTGGGGGAATATGAAGTAAAAGGGTGTGATAAGAAAAGAAAAGGTACTTTTGAGAGGTAAATTTAAAAAAGCGAAGTGTTATAAGAAGAGCAGAGTATATTATTATACGTATTATTTATTAGTACATACGTATTCTTGTAATAATACTCTTGCTTACCATTTGGAATTTTTCACACAAAAAAAAAAAAAAAAATAGAAGATTTACTGTTATGCAGACTACTGCATTATTGTAATAATTGTATAAATAATGTCAACCCATTCGTGACTGTGTACAATACTGGCCAGGTGGACACACACTTGAACATCGGCGAAAATCTAACATTTCCACTACTTTGAGCTCAATTTCAAGGTACTGTTCGTTGTGAAAACAATCAAAATCATATCTACAGTATTTCTGTAATGTATCTTCCATTCTATCAAATGAGACAAAAAAAAAAAAGAATACAAGCATAAAACCAAACGAAAACATACCGCTAAGGAGTGGCTAATGGCCAAGAAGTGAACTCGGTTATTCATGGTCCGATTTCTTCCAATTTTGATGTTAAGAAGCATCTTTCCATCATACATTGCCGAGGGAATGACTAACAGGACCTTGAACTCTGCTTGGAGGAAATTGTCCAGCCTCTCACACCCAGGCTGACACAACTGTGTCAACCTGGGTGTCCAACAAACAACTGAGGTCCAATTCCCTAGATCAAGAGCAAGAGCCCCTAACCAGCATGAAGGAACCTCCTTTGAGGCCCACTCGCATCTGGAAGCAAAGAATCAACTGAGCGACTGCTCGTATCTTGAAAAACTCACACGTTGGGGCACTCATAAGTAGAGGTTCCACTGTAATGCCTTGTCCATTACTGCAGGTTGAAGATATCACAGGAGTCTTGCCAATGGGGGAGTGCTAAACCCATAGGATTATACAGTGCATGTGGGGGATGGAAAGTATTCAGGCTCAATTCAGAGAACTGGAGCAGATCCAATTCCCTGGATCAAGAGCCCCTCACCAGGTAATCCTGTAGATTATACGGCACCTGGCAATGGTAAGCAATCAGATTTGATCCACAGAAAATTTCAGTTCCTTGAATCAAGAGCCCTTCACAATTATAATCATGGGGGAGTGCTAAATCCATTGGATTATACATTGCATGTGGGAGGGGGAATGGAAAGTATTCAGACAATTCAAGGAACTGGAGCATAGATCGAATTCCCTAGATGAAGAGCCCCTCACCAGTGTCAAGGAACCTCCCTTGAGGGGCACCCTTCTGCATGCTTAGCAGTTGAAAACTTTTTTTTTTTTTTTTTACATTCTGAAGAGTACATAACACCTTAACTTATATGGTTTAAGGAAAATTAATTAAATTTACAATTTATTTATACATGCACAAAATGACTCAAATGCAAGGATTCATACACATCCATCTATACATATATATATATATATATACACACACACACACCAACCACACAGGCCATATCAAATAACTGTGCAGCATGATCCACATAAATCCTCTTATCAACAAAGTACGTACATTCACTTTACTTGAAAAAATAGTACTGTAATATATAACTAATGACTACAGAGCCACTTGTGAAAAATCTCCAGTAAAAAGCTCTCATCATTGATTAGACCTAATACATTCAAAAAGATTTACTGTAGACTGCCATCAGGATTCTGAGAGTTGTCAGTTCATCGTGGATACACTAGTTGTGATGCAGTCATCGCTTCAGGGAAAAGGGAATGGTAACTCATAACAGGAACATATGCTGCAGTTATCATTTTACCTGAAAAATATAAATTTTCTACAATGTGTTTTAAGCATTATTTAATAAAATTACAATTTACACATATGAAAATGCTGTACAGAATTTATAAAAAAATTCATAAATAAGAAACAATCTTACCTGCAAACCATCGTCCATGGAGTGCATTTACAGAGGCAGCAGCTGTTGCAATGGTGGGGCATTTGACATAAACATTACCCTGAGCAGACTGTCTATCCACAAATATATGCAGAACACCACCATGTTTGTTACATTCTTCTAAAACATCATCTCTTATTTCATCAGACCAATTTGGATTAGATTCACTGAAACAAATTTAAAATATACAATGAAAATAAACTGTATACATGTACTGTAACCTACAAGTTTGTGTTTTGAATCCAATACTTCCATCTCTTCCAATTAACTTTGCAGTCTTCTATATCACACATTTGTAATAAAGTCATGTTTTATGTTCACTGGCAAATAAAACACTAAGAACAGATGCTACTAACGTTGATGGATCAAACATATTAGATAGAAGAAAACACTGGGTAGCAATAGGTGGTGCTGGCTGTTGCTGAGGCGTGGCTGGCATGTGTAAAGCATTTGCAGCTGCTGCAGGAAGCTGAAGGCCAGTTCCCTCAGCCAACTTCGCCATCAACTGAAGGCGTCCTGTTGCACCTGTAAAATGCAACATTGTGAGGAGGAGGCTGGAGGCGTGTCTAAGGGCAATGTGTGGTGTAAATATTATGCAGAGAATTTGTAGTGTGGAAATTAAGAGGTGTGGAGTTATTAAAAATATGAGTCAGAGGGCTGAAGAAGGTTTGTTGAGGTGGTTTGGTCATTTAGAGAGAATGGAACAAAGTAATATGACTAAGAATGTATAAATCTGTAGGGGTGTGGACTTCCAGCAAGCGTGCACGAGCGTGTTAGATAGGAGCTAATAAAGACGAATAGTTTTTGGGGCCTGATGAGCTGCTGGAGTGTGAACAGGGTAATATTTTGTGAAGGGATTCAGGGGAACAGGTTAGCCGGACCTGAGTCCTGGAAATGGGAAGTACAATGCCTGTACATCAGAGGCGTTTAGGATATTGGCAGTTGGAAGGGACGTCTAAACTGTCGTATCTGAGCACCTCTGCAAAGACAGTGATCACATGTGAATGATGAAAATGATTCTTTGTTGGGTCACCCTGCCTTGGTGGAAGATGGCCAATGTGTAGGAAAAAAATATTAAATTTAAAAAGAAATACTTTTGTTTTTCTTTTTAGGTCATCCTGCCTCAGTGGGATACAGCCAGTTCATTAAAAAAAATATATGTATATATATGTATGGAGATTTAAAGTCATAAGCTAAACCAAGAAAAGACTTACCTAAATCAATGCCTGCCCTTTCCATTTCATCTGAATCTAGAAGAGATGTTCCCTGCTGAGTTTCCGAGCGTTCAGTAACATGATTTACTTTCATCGGCCTCCCAGCTAATTCAAATCCATTCAACTGTTCAAGAGCTTTTTTGGCATCATCAGAGTTGTGGAACTGAAATGATAGCATCTTAATTCACTAAATGAATTACAAAGGCAATAAATTCCAAAAGCTAAGTATTATATACAATTTCTCTAATAATAAGTCAATAGTATTCCAATCTTGAAGGTCATGTACTGATGTGTTGGCCACAGCATATACAAGTTATTTATTGTTATGCACTTTGTGTGATGCAAGAGTTATTAAACATGTAGACATACTATTGAGCTGTGAAAATATTTTTTCTAGCTTTATTAGCCAATAAAAAAACAGTATACACTTACAATAACATGCAGTTTCTTGAACATAATATGCAACTTCAATGCGAGTGCACCAGAAAATAGACTTCAAGAGAATAATTTTTTCCTTACATAGGGTACTTCAACTCTTCCTTTTCACTTTCTAAACAGTACAGATACTGAACAATATTCAGATAAGAACAACCATTATTTTTGAAGAATTAAGAGGAAACTTAATTAGCTTCTTTGAAGGTGTAAAGAATATAGCCCTAATTTTCACCATTTTTTTTTTTCACAAGTACAATGCAAGTAGTGCAGATTTCCAGGAATGCAAGCCATGGAAATTATGTCTACTGTAATTCCAACTCTGGAAGCAGGCCAAATCATTCTATGCAACTGTGATTATTTGAATATGTGCTGGCATGGGACAGAGCAAGCACAGCTCATGATGGAGGGGCATGAATGAAAACTGAGTACACACCAACGTACCTTTCTGAAAAATTTGGTTGCTTTCAATTTCTTTCTTTCAACTCACCAGCCGTATCCCACCGAGGCGGGGTGGCCCAAAAGAAAAAATGAAAGTTTCTCCTTTTACATTTAGTAATATATACAGAAGGGGTTACTAGCCCCTTGCTCCCAGCATTTTAGATGCCTCTTACAACACACATGGCTTACGGAGGAAGAATTCTGTTCCACTTCCCCATGGAGGTAAGAGGAAATAAACAAGAACAAGAACTAGAAAGAAAAAAGAAAACCCAGAGGGGTGTGTATATATATGCTTGTACATAGAGTAATGGTGGTTGGGGATTTCAATGCTAAAGTGGGTAAAAATGTTGTGGAGGGAGTAGTAGGTAAATTTGGGGTGCCAGGGATAAATGTAAAAGGGGAGCCTTTAATTGAGCTATGTGTAGAAAGAGATTTGGTAATAAGTAATACATATTTTATGAAAAACAGGATAAATAAATATACAAGGTATGATGTAGCACGTAATAAAAGTAGTTTGTTAGATTATGTATTGGTGGATAAAAAGTTGATGGGTAGGCTCCAGGATGTACGTTTATAGAGGGGCAACTGATATATGGATCATTATTTAGTTGTAGCTACAGTTAGAGTAAGAGGTAGATGGGAAAAGAGGAAGGTGGCAACAACAAGTAAGAGGGAGGTGAAAGTATATAAACTAAGGGAGGAGGAAGTTTGGGTGAGATATAAGTGACTATTGGCAGAAAGGTGGGCTAGTGCAAAGATGAGTAGTGGGGGGGTTGAAGAGGGTTGGAATAGTTTTAAAAATGCAGTATTAGAATGTGGGGCAGAAGTTTGTGGTTATAGGAGGGTGAGGGCAGGAGGAAAGAGGGGTGATTGGTGGAATGATGAAGTAAAGGGTGTGACAAAAGAGAAAAAGGTAGCTTATGAGAGGTTTTTACAAAGCAGAGGTGTTATAAGAAGAGCAGAGTATATGGAGAGTAAAAGAAAGGTGAAGAGAGTGGTGAGAGAGTGCAAAAGGAGAGCAGATGAAAGAGTGGGAGAGGCACTGTCAAGAAATTTTAATGAAAATAAGAAAATTTTGGAGTGAGTTAAACAAGTTAAGAAAGCCTAGGGAAAGTATGGATTTGTCAGTTAAAAACAGAGTAGGGGAGTTAGTAGATGGGGAGAGGGAGGTATTAGGTAGATGGAGAGAATATTTTGAGGAACTTTTAAATGTTAAGGAAGAAAGGGAGGTGGTAATTTCATGCACTGGTCAGGGAGGTATACCATCTTTTAGGAGTGAAGAAGAGCAGAATGTAAGTGTGGGGAAGGTACGTGAGGCATTACGTAGAATGAAAGGGGGTAAAGCAGCTGGAACTGATGGGATCATGACAGAAATGTTAAAAGCAGGGGAAGATATAGTGTTGGAGTTGTTGGTACTTTTGTTTAATAAATGTATGAAAGAGGGGAAGGTACCTAGGGATTGGCGGAGAGCATGTATAGTCCCTTTATATAAAGGGAAAGGGGACAAGAGAAGACTAAAAATTATAGAGGAATAAGTTTACGGAGTATACCAGGATGTGAAGAGAGTAGTAAGGGAGAAAAAGTTAGCATATGAGAAGTTTTTATAAAGTAGAAGTGATGCAAGGAGGGAAGAGTATATGGAGAAAAAGAGAGGTTAAGAGAGTGGTGAAGCAATGTAAAAAGAGAGCAAATGAGAGAGTGGGTGAGATCTTTTATTATTTTATTATCACACTGGCCGATTCCCACCAAGGCAGGGTGGCCCGAAAAAGAAAAACTTTCACCATCATTCACTCCATCACTGTCTTGCCAGAAGGGTGCTTTACACTACAGTTTTTAAACTGCAACATTAACACCCCTCCTTCAGGAGGCTTTAGGAAAGGTAGGGGGTGTGTGGACCAGGTGTTTACAGTGAAACATATAAGTGAACAGTATTTAGATAAGGCTAAAGAGGTCTTTGTGGCATTTATGGATTTGGAAAAGGCGTATGACAGGGTGGATAGGGGGGCAATGTGGCAGATGTTGCAGGTGTATGGTGTAGGAGGTAGGTTACTGAAAGCAGTGAAGAGTTTTTACGAGGATAGTGAGGCTCAAGCTAGAGTATGTAGGAAAGAGGGAAATTATTTCCCAGTAAGTGGGCCTTAGACAGGGATGTGTGATGTCACCGTGGTTGTTTAATATATTTATAGATGGGGTTTTAAGAGAAGTAAATGCGAGGGTCTTGGCAAGAGGCGTGGAGTTAAAGGATAAAGAATCACACAAAGTGGGAGTTGTCACAGTTGCTCTTTGCTGATGACACTGTGCTCTTGGGAGATTCTGAAGAGAAGTTGCAGAGATTGGTGGATGAATTTGGTAGGGTGTGCAAAAGAAGAAAATTGAAAGTGAATACAGGAAAGAGTAAGGTTATGAGGATAACAAAAAGATTAGGTGATGAAATATTGGATATCAGATTGGAGGGAGAGAGTATGGAGGAGGTGAATGTATTCAGATATTTGGGAGTGGACGTGTCAGGATGGGTCTATGAAAGATGAGGTGAATCATAGAATTGATGAGGGGAAAAGGGTGAGTGGTGCACTTAGGAGTCTGTGGAGACAAAGAACTTTGTCCTTGGAGGCAAAGAGGGGAATGTATGAGAGTATAGTTTTACCAACGCTCTTATATGGGTGTGAAGCATGGGTGATGAATGTTGCAGCGAGGAGAAGGCTGGAGGCAGTGGAGATGTCATGTCTGAGAGCAATGTGTGGTGTGAATATAATGCAGAGAATTCGTAGTTTGGAAGTTAGGAGGAGGTGCGGGATTACCAAAACAGTTGTCCAGAGGGCTGAGGAAGGGTTGTTGAGGTGGTTTCGGACATGTGGAGAGAATGGAGCGAAACAGAATAACTTCAAGAGTGTATCAGTCTGTAGTGGAAGGAAGGCGGGTAGGGGTCGGCCTGGGAAAGGTTGGAGGGAGGGGGTAAAGGAGGTTTTGTGTGCGAGGGGCTTGGAATTCCAGCAGGCATGCGTGAGCGTGTTTGATAGGAGTGAATGGAGACAAGTGGTTTTTAATACTTGACGTGCTGTTGGAGTGTGAGCAAAGTAACATTTATGAAGGGGTTCAGGGAAACCGGCAGGCCGGACTTGAGTCCTGGAGATGGGAAGTACAGTGCCTGCACTCTGAAGGAGGGGTGTTAATGTTGCAGCTTAAAAACTGTAGTGTAAAGCACCCTCTGGCAAGACAGTGATGGAGTGAATGATGGTGAAAGTTTTTCTTTTTCGGGCCACCCTGCCTTGGTGGGAATCGGCCAGTGTGATAATAAAATAAAATAAAACCAGGAAAAGTGTACGGTAGGGTTATAATTGAAAGAATTAGAGGTAAGACAGAATGTAGGATTGCGGATGAGCAAGGAGGTTTCAGAGTGGGTAGGGGATGTGTAGATCAAGTGTTTACATTGAAGCATATATGTGAGCAGTATTTAGATAAAGGTAGGGAAGTTTTTATTGCATTTATGGATTTAGAAAAGGCATATGATAGAGTGGATAGAGGAGCAATGTGGCAGATGTTGCAAGTATATGGAATAGGTGGTAAGTTATTAAATGCTGTAAGGAGTTTTTATGAGGATAGTGAGGCTCAGGTTAGGGTGTGTAGAAGAGAGGGAGACTACTTCCCAGTAAAAGTAGGTCTTACACAGGGATGTGTAATGTCACCATGGTTGTTTAATATATTTATAGATGGGGTTGTAAAAGAAGTAAATGCTAGGGTGTTCGGGAGAGGGGTGGAATTAAATTATGGGAATCAAATTCAAAATGAGAATTGACACAGTTACTTTTTGCTGATGATACTGTGCTTATAGGAGATTCTAAAGAAAAATTGCAAAGGTTAGTAGATGAGTTTGGGAATGTGTGTAAAGGTAGAAAGTTGAAAGTGAACATAAAAAAAGAGTAAGGTGATGAGGGTATCAAGTGATTTAGATAAAGAAAAATTGGATATCAAATTGGGGAGGAGGAGTATGGAAGAAGTGAATGTTTTCAGATACTTGGGAGTTGACATTTCAGCGGATGGATTTATGAAAGATGAGGTTAATCATAGAATTGATGAAGGAAAAAAAGGCGAGTGGTGCATTGAGGTATATGTGGAGTCAAAAAACGTTATCTATGGAGGCAAAGAAGGGAATGTATGAAAGTATAGTAGTACCAACACTCTTATATGGGTGTAAAGCTTGGGTGGTAAATGCAGCAGCGAGGAGACGGTTGGAGGCAGTGGAGACGTCCTGTCTAAGGGCAATGTGTGGTGTAAATATTATACAGAAAATTCGGAGTGTGGAAATTAGGAAAAGGTGTGGAGTTAATAAAAGTATTAGTCAGAGGGCAGAAGAGGGGTTGTTGAGGTGGTTTGGTCATTTAGAGAGAATGGATCAAAGTAGAATGACATGGAAAGCATATAAATTATAGGGGAACGAAGGCGGGGCAGGGGTCACCCTCGAAAGGGTTGGAGAGAGGGGGTAAAGGAGGTTTTGTGGGTGAGGGGCTTGGACTTCCAGCAAGCGTGCGTGAGCATGTTAGATAGGAGTGAATGGAGACGAATGGTACTTGGGACCTGACGATCTGTTGGAGTGTGAGCAGGGTAATATTTAGTGAAGGGATTCAGGGAAACCGGTTATTTTCATATAGTCGGACTTGAGTCCTGGAAATGAGAGGTACAATGCCTGCACTTTAAAGGAGGGGGTTGGGATATTGGCAGTTTGGAGGGATATGTTGTGTATCTTTATACGTATATGCTTCTAAACTGTTGTATTCTGAGCACCTCTGCAAAAACAGTGATAATGTGTGAGTGTGGTGAAAGTGTTGAATGATGATGAAAGTATTTTCTTTTTGGGGATTTTTTCTTTCTTTTTTGGGTCACCCTGCCTCGGTGGGAGACGGCCGACTTGTTGGAAAAAAAAAAAAAAACCCATGTATGTGTATTGTGACCTAAGTGCAAGTAGAAGCAGCAAGACGTACCTGAAATCCTGCATGTTTATGAGACAAAAAAGACACCAGCAATCCTACCATCATGTAAAACAATTACAGGCTTTTGTTGTACACTCACTTGGCATGACGGTAGTACCTCCCTGGGCGGTTGCTGTTTACCAACCTACTACCTAGGTGCTTTTAATTTATTAGTCAGAAATCTTTACAAAATCAGTATATGATCTCGTGAAAAACTACTTTCTAATTCTCTGTTTCTAAATTCTATATTTTTAATAATTTAATATTCCCAGACTACAGCAACCCTTGTAGATAATGAATACAAGCACACTTACTGTAATGAACCCATATCCTTTTGATCTTCCAGTTTCAGAGTCCATAATTAGTTGTATGTGATCAATTTTTCCGAAGGGTTCAAAAATACCCCTGAGCATATCTTCTGTGATGTTGAAATGTAAAGAGCCCACATACAGTCTCATAGGTCCTGTAGCTGCTTTCTGGTCTTGCACGGCTGCTGTCGAGGCAGCACGGTTTTTTTCGGCTTGTGTTGGCTGACACACAATGGGAACACCAAGTATTTTCTGCCCGGAAAGTCCCAAAGCCTGTGCATAAAAACAATGTACTTTCAATAACACTCATCATTACACATTAATCACAGAGCAGCTGCTTTAATATTAACATCACTCACACACATTCTAACAAGATACATTTGACTACTTGCATATTACAAGTACAGCATGACATTCTCAAACATCCAGGTATAACCACCACCACCACAACATACAGAGCATCATTACATTTCCTTTCTGAAAACATTTCCACCAAAATATCAATATGCATTCCACATTAACACTAATTGTCACAGGTTCTGCATTTTTAATTCCCATGTGGCAAAAATTTTTGGTGGGAAAAAAAAAAAAAAGTCTGAAAGAGCTCATTTCTCTAAATAGAAGCACAGTATGAAAAGAAAAATGAAACCAAAACAAATTTATGGTTTTATGGCAGGTCAACATTTGCAAAAAAAATAATCGCTCATTAACAACTGTCATAAATGCAACTAGTGGTATTTGTATTTTAAAATTTAATGCCAAATTATGATTGTTTTCATGCCTAACACTGTGTACAATAGTTTTTTATAATACTTATTTCAATGTGCTTTAGTACTTAAAACATGGACACACATTGTTCATACCAGAATGAGTCATTATAATTAGTGTCACAAAGAAACAACACATCTCTGAAATAGTCTTCGAAGTCTTTCTACTGTTGAAGCTGAGATTTCACTAAAACAACTGTATTAGCCAAACTTTAGAACACGTACGATTTTTTTTTTTTTTTTTTACACAGGGTTTGACAAGGTTAAGGATCCCTAGTTTTATTGACAAGCTATTTACAGGTTAAGGATTCCTAACTTTATTGGCAAGCTAATAGCTGTTACCTACATCAGCTCATTTGAAAGCATTTTTATTGTTATGAGACATACAAGTAGGGAACAGGATGAAGTTGGAGCCATCTGTGGGCCAGCATTTTCTTTGATCAACTGACTATCTCGCTGACATCATTATGCTGTACGAATGTGTTCCATACTCGAGTCATCCTGGGTATATAGGATCCTTTTTCTTGAGTTTCCTTTCTTCTGCCTTGGTGTTCTGTCCTTCATTTCCTTCCCCTCACGTGTCTTTGTCTTACCCATTGTGGTCCCTTAGCTCTCCTGCAGTGCTCCTCTTTGTTGGCCTTTGAATGACTCCACTACTATTTCCTTTCCTATTACCTTTGGCCCCCACCTGCACTTTTGTCTCTTTTCACACTTCCCCTTTCTATTCTTGTCCCACCTATCACTCTTCCAACTTTATACTTACACTACTGCTACTTCCACTACCAGCTTTACCACTACCACTACTAGAGGAACACCTGAGTGGAGCACATAGGTGTGTGTGGGCTCAGTCTCCTTAACCCTTTCAGGGTTTCGGCTGTACCAGTACGGCTTTAGCGCCAGTGTCCATGACGTACTAGTACACATAAATTCTAGCGCCTTCAGATCTAACGAGAGAAAAGCTGGTAGGCCTACATATGAAAGAATGGGTCTATGTGGTCAGTGTGCACAGTATAAAAAAAAAATCCTGCAGCACACAGTGCGTAATGAGAAAAAAAACTAACCGTGTTTTTGGATTAAAACAGCAACTTTGCACTATATTTTCGTATGGTATTTATTGTTGTATTCTAGTTTTCTTTGTCTCATTGTATAGAATGGAAGACATATTACGGAAATTGAGATGATTTTGACTGGTTTTAAAATGAAAAGTACCTTGAAATTGAGCTCAAAGTAGCAGAAATGTTCTATTTTTACCAAAGTTCAAAAGTAAACAAATCATGCTAAGCGTCCAATACACGTCAACTGGTGAGTCTAATATTCTTTCACAAATGCGCTGATATTATTTATACCATTTCTACACTAATGCAGTAGTCTGCACAACAGTAAATCTTATTTTTTTTTTTTTTGTGAGAAAAAAAATTCAAAGTGGAAAGCAAAAGAAATGTAAGAGGGGCCTGGGGACATGACTAATGAACAGAGGAAATGTTATTTTAGTACCAGGAATGTCTTTCTTGTTTATTCTGAACCCTATTTGGAAATTGGCATCTTTTGAAATTTGTGTGAAATTGGCAAAATTGCTAAATTCTGACCACTGTATTGGATAGTTGAAATCGGTAAATTGATGGTTTCTTGTACTCATTCGATAGAAAAAATGGAGTTCTAGCGAAACAGTTATGATTTTTGTCGACTAGTACATTGGAATTGGCCGAAAATAGGGTTCAAAGTGGACAAAATTGCTAATGCTTAAACATCATCGATACTGCTAACTTCGCGAGAGCATAATTCCGTAAGTTTTCCATCAAATTTCATTCTTTTTGGTGTCATTATGATCGGGAAAAGATTCTCTATCTTTTCATAAAAATTTTTTTTTTTTTTTTTTTTTTTTTTGGAAATTTGGGGGACCCTGAGAACAAGTCTCTGAGAGGGCCTGTGGACCCTGAAAGGGTTAAGCATTAGCGGTTGTCCTTAAAAGAGCAAAAACGGTAGAAAAGAATCATTAATGCCGTGAATGGCTAATCTGTCGAATGTGAGCAACATGTGTGATCCTTGCATTCTTTAAGTGGAAATCAAACAAAATATTGGAAGTGACAAGGACCCAGACTAAGCTCAGTGTTGGTGCAAAACAGGAAGTGTTGCCATTCGAGGGAAGCAGTCAATCGTATTACTGTTGAGTGAAAATGGATAAACCTGGACAACTATTAAGGGTAACCATAGTGAAGGAAGTAGACTAGCTAGAAAAAAAAGCACAAAAAACTGCCACCACTGAGAAATCAGCATGAAACAAATTTAAATGGAAGTGTAAGGGGAAAATTACCGTAGGCCTAGCTGCCGTGAGCAATAAAAACAATGATCCAGTATAGTGCAGTGAAAAGAAAAGTGCATCTTGAATAAACACAGTGAACCCTCGGTTACTGGCTGTTCAGCTTATCGGCCAACTCGCTTATCAGCCGGTTTTTCAGCTTCCGGTTATCGGCCATATTGGACGCTTATTGACCGGCGACACTCGCATGTTCCTGAGTCATTGTAGCCGTGTCGCTGGCCGAGTGAGGAAGCTCCTGCTCATTCATCCAAACATTTCGCTATAAACCAGTGTTTTTCTTTGTTATTTATTAAGTGCAATTGTGAAGTAAGCATGGCCCCAAAGAAAGTTCCTAGTAAAGTTCCTGTGGTAAAGAAAGTGAGAAACACAATGGAATTTAAGAGAGAAGCGACTGAAAAATTTGAGTGGCATGTGAATGTTGGAACTTGCCAGGATGTATGGGAAAAACAAATCTACCATCACTTCCATCCTGGCAAGGAAAGAACAAATCAAGGAAGCCGATGTTACGAAAGGAGTAAATGTGATAACAAAACAAAGGTCACCAATAATGGAAGATATGGAAAAGTTATTATTGTTGTGGATCAGGGAAAAACACTTAGTGGGAGATAGTGTTGTGGAGTCAGCAATTTGTGAGAAGGCAAAGCAGTTGTATGTGTATCTTGTGTAAAAAAAAAAAAAAAAAATGCCTGGAACAAGTGCTGCTGTTAGTGAATGAGAGATTTAAGAAGCATAGTGGCATACAGTGTGGTAAGGCATGGAGAGGCTGCAAGTTCTGATAAATGTGTGGCTGAAAAATTTGTGCAAGATTTCAAGGGGTATGTAGAGGCTCAAGGATTCCTCCCCCAACAAGTGTTCAATTGCGACTAAACCGGCCTGTTTTGGAAGAAAATGCCAAAGAGGTACATTACACAGGAGGAAAAGGCCCTGCCTGGACACAAGCCTATGACAGACAGGTTTACTCTTGTTCTGTGCTTACGCTACTGGGGATTTCAAAGTGAAGCCTTTACTGGTGTATCACTGAAAATCCCTGTGTTCAAGAAACAATGTTTTCAAGAGTAAATTGTGTGTGATGTGGAGGGCTAACAATAGTGCATGGGTCACAAGGCAAATTTTCAAAGAGTGGGTGAAAGATGTGTTTGGCCTGAGTGTCAAAAAGTACCTCCTGGAACAAATTTCCACTCAAGTGCCTCCTAGTACTGGACAATGCTCCTGCTCATCCTCCAAACTTGGTAGACCTATTGTCTGTGGAATTCCGTTTCATCACGGTGAAGTTCTTGCCTCCTAACACCACTTCTCTCATCCAGCCCATGGACCAGCAGGTCATTTTTAGCTTCAAAAAACTGTACACCAAAGCAGTGTTTCAAAGGTGCTTTGAAGTAACCTCAGACACAGATTTGATCCTAAGAGAGCTCTGGAGGAATCACTTCAATATCCTCCACTGCACAAGCCTTATAGTGTGTACCTTACAGTTAAGGCTTGGGAGGGAGTGACTTCCAGGACTTTGAACTCTGCTTGGAGAAAATTGTGGCCAAAATGTGTCCAAGAGAGGGATTTTGAAGGGTTTGGGGCTGACCCTGAGGACCCTATGCCTGTTGTGAAATCCATTGTACCTCTGGGCAAGTCCGTGGGGTTGGAGGTTAGTGGTGAAGATGTGGAAGATTTGGTGGAGGACCACAGGGAATAGCTAACCACTGAAGAGCTGCAAGAGCTTCATCTGGAAGAGCAACAGACCACAGCTCAGGAACTTGCTTCAGAGGAGGAAGAATGAAGGAGGTGCCTTCTGGAACTGATTACGGCCGATAACCGAGGGTCCACTGTACAGTGTATATCCTTTAGGATAACCAGTGTACTTTTTTTTTTTTTTTTTTATCACACTGGCCGATTCCCACCAAGGCAGGGTGGCCCGAAAAAGAAAAACTTTCACCATCATTCACTCCATCACTGTCTTGCCAGAAGGGTGCTTTACACTACAGTTTTTAAACTGCAACATTAACACCCCTCCTTCAGAGTGCAGGCACTGTACTTCCCATCTCCAGGACTCAAGTCCGGCCTGCCGGTTTCCCTGAATCCCTTCATAAATGTTACTTTGCTCACACTCCAACAGCACGTCAAGTATTAAAAACCATTTGTCTCCATTCACTCCTATCAAACACGCTCACGCATGCTGCTGGAAGTCCAAGCCCCTCGCA